TCTCCTCATTGTTCTCCATTTACTGTGACTGTATACATCTGAGTTTTCTGAATATAATTATATGTTGTAAATTAGCGGTGGCGACCTTGCTAAGAAGGATTTTCGCTGTATATCTGGTTCTGGAAAGCTGCATTTGATGGCGAGGGCCCGTTTGAATATATGCTTGGAGATCAAAGAGTTGGTCCCGATACTACGGTAGGTAGCCGGAGAGAAATTGTGTTTGGAGGTGTGAGGAGTTAGGCTGTAGATCCGGGGATGACCGTCTCCTCAATGCAGTTCTGAGGAAACATACAACGATTGCGAAGGCTGTGGGGCTTTCATCCCATGAACCCTATATTGGCCAGTGTGTATCTGGAGTTTTTTCTCTCCCTACTGCCCACTCCTTTGTGAAGAGGGGCAATTATTTGCTCTTTAAGAACTCTAAACCCAAAAGACCGCACGAGAACGCTGGATGAAGCTTCTAAAGTGTGTAAAATATATCTCCTACTAAGAACTCCCAAACTGAGATCATGCACAGAATTAAGAAGATTTAACTAAAGAAAGAGGGATGCTGACTTGCTTAATAAACAGCAAATATCACAACGAAGGAAAAAATCTGCGCCGAGAAAATAAATATATAGAACAGAAACTAAAACATTCCTGCTTGAAGAAAAACAAAAAGAACTACAAACATTTCAAGACTGGGAAATAACCAAGATACTTCTTCACGTATGCAAAATCAAAGTCAAAAACCTCTTCTAGTAATGGCACTCTACTCAAGAGAAGATTCATACACAGACGACAATGAGTGAAAACTTAGACCTTGAATTAGTGTTCAGTGATCCCGGACATGTCTTATTTACTTGTCGGTATTGTATACCGTTATTATTTTCGGTGATCCTGTAGATGCCATGAGAGATGAAGATCCATTTATTTTTTTCTTAAATTTAGTCATCCCTACAAATCATACACGGTTGTTCATTTATTCCTTCACCTATTTCAAGAAACATGATTTCAACAATGTTGTAAAATACGTGAAAATACGTTTTTCTGCATACCATATCGTAAATATATTAAGAAGTTCACTGGCAGGTGGATTGTGTGATGACGCCCTGAGATGGATCCCAGACTTTACTTAAATCACACCTTTAGACCTACTGTTGTGGGGGTTTAGAAAGGATTATAATTTTCAGATACCCGTAGCTGACATTAAAGCATCCTACTAGAATAAATGATGGCATCGGAAAAAGTCACACCGTATATATTGGTCAATACATAGAACACACGGGAGTATCGTTTAAATGTGCTCCGGGACACTAGATGCTCACATCTTGGGCAACATAGATTACACAGCCGTGAAGCAACAAACTCCATTTTGATATTTTTATTATTGAGGACGCTCATTATGTTTGACATTAGTACAGATCCTTCAGACATTGAAGAGGAAATAGACAACAAGGAGACGCACACAACATCTGAATCTATTGAAAAAAATAACAAATGCAGTGTACATACTGTATTTCTTTTTTTTTCATTGTATAGGTATTTTATACCATTCTTTCCAGTTGAGCCTATTTTTGAAATTCATTATATACATGAGGCCTCCCAAAGCCCTTAAGACATCTTTCCAGGGAATGTTTGATAGTTGTTTGTTAAGCCAGTCAGTTCTCGTATGGTTCAACTTGAGTTTACTAAACATTCCCTTGTGTTGACTATTTCTTGGGTTTTCTACATGTGTATTTATGATTTCACTTCAGTGAGGTTGTGGTCTGAGTGTTGTGTTTGAGATTGTTACGTCCCTCATAATTCCCTCAATTGTTAGTGATCAAATTTGACGAATTCATTGTATTTGTACATTATAAACTTTTCGCAGTCTTCAGTGTGTATCTGCAATTTACACCGGCACGTCCTCGGTTAAATATTGACTCTTATTTTCATTTTATTATCATTATTATCATCATCATCCGTATTATAACCGAGTATTATTGACCTAACCTTACTATTGATATAGATATTTTTGTCCTCCGTTTTTTGTTGTTGGTAATCTATTATGACTTGTCTCGACAAAAGCCACTGAACGTTATAAGTTGTACAAACCAGATGATAAACAGTAATGTACACTGGAGTGTGTAGAGGATTACTGATGAACAATTGCTTATGTGTGATGTCCAGAAAAGCTGAATAACTACTTACAATGTACTTTAATGTTTCATAAAGGTGTGAGGGAATTACAGAAATTACTGGCTGGCTGCAGAAGAAACCTCGACCCATTTTCATGTTCTTAATTATTTAAAGTCTGGGTTTTGTGTATATCTTAAATATATCTTAAATATCTACTCTTTAGACATTTTTTTTTTTCGTTAAAAAAAATGGTTTTAAAAATCGTGTAATTTTTTCCTTTCCTTATATTTTTTTTCCCGAAACTACGCTCTTATATACTTATATTTCGGCATTTTATTTTTGTTAAATTTTATATTAGTTTTCCTTCTTATAATCAAAGATTTGATAATTTTCTTGGCAGCTGGGAGCGCGAGTCCGAGCCTCGGGCGGAAGGAGTACCGGAAGGTCACTTACGACGGCACGAGCACCCTCCAGAGACGACCCTCTCAGGTAAATCACCCTATCCCAGAACGACCATCTCAGGTTAATCATCCCCCAGAGAACGACCTCTCAGTAAATCACCTCCCAGAGAGACCTCTCAGGTAAATTACCCTCAACCAAGTGACGACTCTCTCAGGTCACAACACCTCCAGAGACGACCCTCAGGTAAATCACCCCCAGAGACGATCTTCTCAGGTCACAACACCTCCAGAGACGACCCTCTCAGGTAGGTCACCCCCCCCAGAGACAACCTTCTCAGGTCACAACACCTCCAGAGACGACCCTTTCGGGTAGGTCACAATGCCTTCAGAGACGACCCTCTCAGGTCACAACACCTCCAGAGACGACCCTCTAAGGTAGGTCACAACACCTCCAGAGACGAGCTCCTCAGGTAGGTCACAACACCTTCAGAGACGTCGCTCTCAGGTAGGTCACAACACCTCCACAGACGTCCTTCAGATAGGTCACTTACACAACACCTCTCAGGTAGGTCACCAGCGTGGCTCCTCTCCAACACCTGACCACTGTTTTGGGCTGTTCCTCGAAGATGTTTGAAAGTAGGAGGAAGAGTTACAATACGGTGGCTGCATCAGTACACGAATAACTAACTTCAGCCGACGTTTCGGAAAGAAACGTCGTCTAAAGTTACCTTTCAAAAGTGTGTGTTGTTTGTGAATCTTAACTGGGCTTTTATCTTGAAAAAAAATTAACCAGTGGTTTCTAAGGTTTTCAGGTGATTGTAATTTATATATTGGTTTTATCTTAGAGGATCTTCAGCACGTGGATTCCTTGAGATTTTGAAGGAAAACATTTCTATCTAAGAAAATGATGAGGGTTCCTTGTTCAGTGGTAGCGCCATTTGTCTCACCATCAAAGAACCTTGGTTCGATCCTCGGGCGAGTGGAAACATTGAGCTGATTTTCTTGTACTTGTTACCTCTTCCCCTGGGAGTAAATAGATTCCCAGATGATAGCGTACTGTTGTGGCTCGCAGCCTTGGAATGAAGGATAGTATGCCTTAGATAAGACTGAGGTTGAAAGGATAGGGTTATAACTGTTAACCTGTAAATGAGTTGAGGTAAAATAAGAAGTGTTAGCCTGTAAGTGAGTTGAGATGGGATAATAACTGTTAGCCTGTAAATTCAGCCGTATAAAAAAAAGTATTACAGTATTGGCGTAAAACTAAATCTGGGAAAGAACTTCATGCAGTTTGCCTTTAAATCCTTCGGTATTTAGTATTTTACTAAGGTTCGTCAACAGGAGCTTCCCGTGATGTGCGTTGACCATATAAATTTCAACTTGACTCGCTGTGGGGGAAGTGCCGAGGGAGGCATCTTAAGCTAACCCATGAAAAATGCTCACGTAATGGATCATTAAAAATCCACTTGGCTTAGCGTTTTCAAGACAGCTCAGTTTAATAATCTCACTTAAGCCATTAAGATGAGCCTTACTCGAGAAAGAAATTTGTATAATGAATTCCCTGAGTTATTTGAGTTAGTGTTGTTGTGTAGGTCAGTTTAGCTTCGTCAAGGAGCTTGAGGAAGATTTACATGGGTTCAGTTGTAACGTTTACAAGGAAGGTGGAAGTCGTAGGTAGAGTGTAACGGAATTTTTTTAAAAGACTTCAGAATGTTCCGGGGAAGTTTTAGTACAGCGTAGTACATGGGTTAATCTCGTGAAAGAAACGGAATTTCACGATAATTTTAGAACCGGTGATGGGCTGTTGATCCGAGAAATTGGAGCAAACTACTTTTCCAAACTTGTATCAGGACTTGATTACCTCCCGTGTCCCAGGCGTTGTATGACCCGCTATGGGTTTAGATTTTCACTCCCTCATTAAAATTAATCAAATCCAATATTTTAAGACCCTTTAGTAAGGTGCACTGATGTCTGTCAAGGGCTCTTGATCCAAGAAATCAGTTTGATCTTTTCCTTGTATCAAACCCGTTTTCCAGGCTCTGTATACCCTCTACGGGTTTAGCGCCTCGTCGTGACAATAGTAAACAAGGATTTAAGAATCAAGAGTTAATAAATATTGTTTGAAAGGTTAAGAATTCAAATTATTTAAACTTTATAATAAAACCGATGATCAAGTTTTTTTTTGCTGTTTTAAGTTGCTTTTAACTTGGAAATTGTTTCAAAGTTAGCACTTGTTTAACTTTGCAGTTGTTTTAAAGTTAACAGTTCCTTTAAACATCATAGTTTTGAAGGAGACGGGAAGTATGAGGGAAGAAACGGTGAAAATGAGAGAGGACGAATGAGGGAAGAATCGGTGAAAAGGAGAATGAAAGTATTAGGGAAGTGTGAGGGGGGGTAGGGGCGAGAAAAGGGGGAAAATGTGAGGGAGGGAAGGGAAAGGGAGAGGGTAAGAATGAGGAGGTGAGCAAGAAGGGGGAAAAAGTTAAGTGTGAAGATAGGAGAGAATAATAAGGGAAGAATGAGGAGAGGAGCAGAGGGAGAAGGGTAAGAGCAAGGAGGGGGAGATGGGAAGTGTGAGGGGAGAAGAAATCGGTATTAAATGCACCCACTATAATTACCATATTCCCTAACACTAAGTCTCTCATACATAACATACATACATACATACATACATACATACATACACTCATACACACTATAAATATTCGTGCAAGATGGGTGACGTGTATGATCTTAATGGAGTAGTCGCGGTGTAGAAACTTTCACTAAAAACACAAGAAGCTGAGTACGAGTGAGTTCTGCAGTGTGTGTCCTTCCTGCTACTTCTAGGACACACACACAGTGGCACTCCTGAATATACTCACTGTTACACTACAAACCACGGGAAGCACTTGTTCTTATATTCTATACACCTCACTGCACTTGTAATTACAAGTGCAGTGAGGTGTAAATTACAAGTGTAGTGAGGTGTATATTACAAATGCGGTGAGGTGTTTATTATAATATACACATCACTGTACTTGTAATATATACCTCACCACATTTGTAATATATACCTTACGCATCACTGTACTTGTTTATACTCTACTCCTCACTGCACTGTGTGTGTGTACTCACCTATTTGTACTCACCTATTTGTGGTTGCAGGGGTCGAGTCTTAGCTCCTGGCCCCGCCTCTTCACCGGTTGCTACTGGGCCCTCTCTCTCCCCGCTCCATGAGCTTTATCAAACCTCGTCTTAAAACTGTGTATGGTTCCTGCCTCCACTACGTCATTTTGTAGGCTATTCCACTGCCTTACAACTCTATGACTGAAGAAATGCTTCCTAATATCTCTGACTCATTTGTGTCTTCAACTTCCAATTGTGGCCTCTTGTTTCTGTGTCCCCTCCCTGGAACATCCTGTCTTTGTCCACCTTGTCTATTCCACGCAGTATTTTATATGTCGTTATCATGTCTCCCCTGACCCTCCTGTCCTCCAGTGTCGTCAGGCCGATTTCCCTTAATCTTTCTTCATAGGACATTCCCCTTAGCTCTGGAACTAACCTTGTGGCAAACCTTTGTACTTTCTCTAGTTTCTTGACGTGCTTTATCAAGTGCGGGTTCCAAACAGGTGCTGCATACTCCAGTATGGGCCTGACATACACGGTGTACAGTGTCTTGAACGATTCCTTACTAAGGTATCGGAATGCTGTTCTCAGGTTTGCCAGGCGCCCATATGCTGCAGCAGTTATCTGATTGATGTGTGCTTCCGGAGACATGCTCGGTGTTATACTCACCCCAAGATCTTTCTCCTTGAGTGAGGTTTGCAGTCTTTGGCCACCTAGCCTATACTCTGTCTGTGGTCTTCTGTGCCCTTCCCCTATCTTCATGACTTTGCATTTGGCAGGATTAAATTCGAGAAGCCATTTGCTGGACCAGGTGTCCAGTCTGTCCAGGTCTCTTTGAAGTCCTGCCTGGTCCTCATCAGATTTAATTCTCCTCATTAACTTCACATCATCTGCAAACAGGGACACTTCTGAGTCTAACCCTTCCATCATGTCGTTCACATATACCAAAAATAGCACTGGTCCTAGGACCGACCCCTGTGGGACCCCGCTCGTCACAGGTGCCCACTGTGATACATCATTACGTACCATGACTCGTTGTTGCCTCCCTGTCAGGTATTCTCTGATCCATTGCAGTGCCCTTCCTGTTATATGCGCCTGATGCTCTAGCTTCTGCACTAATCTCTTGTGGGGAACTGTGTCAAAGGCCTTCTTGCAGTCCAAGAAGATGCAATCAACCCACCCCTCTCTCTCGTGTCTTACTTCTGTTATTTTGTGTGTGTGTGTGTGTGTGTATAAATATATATACAGTGGACCCCCGGTTAACGATATTTTTTCACTCCAGAAGTATGTTCAGGTGCCAGTACTGACCGAATTTGTTCCCATAAGGAATATTGTGAAGTAGATTAGTCCATTTCAGACCCCCAAACATACACGTACAAACGCACTTACATAAATACACTTACATAATTGGTCACATTCGGAGGTGATCGTTATGCGGTGGTCCACTGTATATATATAAATTATATATATATATATATATATATATATATATATATATATATATATATATATATATATATATATATATATATATATATATATATATAAAATGTCGTGCCGAATTGGCAGAACTTGCGATCTTGGCTTAAATAGCAACGCTCATCTTGCCATATAAGACAAGCAAAAATTTGTGTATGCAATAATTTCGCCAAAATCATTCTGAACCTAACTAAAAAAATATATTTCCCTGTGTTTGTTTAGCATTAAATTATTGTAAAGAAATATAAAATATATTTAGTTGGGTTAGGCTAAAATAAATTGTTCTTGTTATAATAAGGTTAGGTAAGTTTTCTAAGATTCTCTTGGTGCAAAATTATAAATTTTTACATCAACATTAATGAAAAAAATATATCTTTAAACGTATAAGAGAAAATTTCAGAAAGGACTTAATTTTAAATGAGTTCTTGCTAATTGACCAGTTTTACATATTCGGCACGACATATATATACAATTGTCGCGACTGTTGTGATTTCTTGCACATAC